AAGAGCTAAATCATGATGATAATTATAGATAGAAATGCTAACAAGAAAGTTATTACCAAATTTTGGTGATATTTTTCTTATAAACTATCAATCATTGGCAATGTTAATATTCATTCTACTTCTATTATTAGTGCAATATGATGTGTTCAGATGAGGAATGACACAAGAATGATTCTTATATTTGTAATTTGTGTCAATCGTTGCAAGTTTAGCAACGTTAGATCTAGCCAGTACTTGGATGGGTGTCCGCCTGGGAACACCATTTTCTGTTCTTATAATTTATGAAAAAAATCGCGCTTTATAAATTTGACTAGCTTTTCCCACTTTCCATGTAAACGTTCACGTGAATTTTTGCTGCAACCAGTATCAATCATAAAGTAAACTTAGCTATCAGAAGAGAGATCAGGAAGGAAACTGAAACGGCTCAAAGCAGAAACGAAAGTAGATATAATTTTGCTTTCCATTTTTTCATGATTTTAGCGGATCTTGAAGAGAGGTCAGTGATACTTCAGGGAAATCGTAGTAATGACAGAAATGACAGCAAGCAGTAACAAGTATACCAATAATGGAAATGATTCTGATAGTTTGCAAGAAAGCATTTATGAGCAAGCTTTAGCAATGATGTTCTTGGCAGTAAGTGTGCTTATAATTAGCCTTATGATATAGTTCTTCTAGCTTCAGTGATGAAAATATTGAGTAGATACCACTGTCTATACGGATGTACACTTATAATATCCTTTGGCTCATTTTATCCATTTTTAAGTGTTAGTTCCACAATCTGCACTTTTTTAAAGAGACAACTAATAACTGATAAAAAAATCTTTATGGATGAAATTCCGTGAACCATTATCCCAAACTGGATTAACTTGCCTTTAGTGGTTAGTATTGGATTATCTGCCCTGAGTGGATAGTTATTAATAGAGATTTCTCGTAGCTCTGGAAGCCATGGTAAAGAAATGTTAAAAGTGAGTATAATATAGTGAGTACAGATAAGCCTTGAAATAAAGATGACTTGTTTCTTCACAATACGCCAAGGGCCATACCACATGGAAAGCACCGCTTCTCGTCCGATCAGCAAAGTTAGGGGTTATAAAACGATGGGTTTGTCCAGTACTTGGATGGGTGACTGCCTGGGAACACCAGATGCTATTGACTTTTTTATAATTTATGAAAAAAACATGCAGTGTTTCTATATGAATTCTACTACCTTGTTCACTTTACATGTTAACACATTCACGAGAACTTTGCTGTAATTGATTTTAAGCATAATGTAAACTAATCTCTTAGAAGAGGAATTATAGGCTAGGTATAATCCCCTGACCGCTGAAGATTGATCAAAAACGATACTTGGTATGATTTTTTTTTTTTCTATGAACGAACCCCTGACCCACCAATTAAAGGTGATATGTAATTGTTATATTTCATATGACCATGGGTTTGAGCTCAATAGTGAAAGGAGACGTTTGAAAACCGCGAAGTGAAAACCGGCCCATTCCACGATTTTACACGGTCGCAGTGTTTTAATGTTTTGTTTTAATGAATTTTGCGAAAAAAAAATCGAATTGGATATTTATTTACACAATATGGGCTATAAGGTAACGATAAAGAACACACGACCAATGATTTGATAATTTTAAGTGGGAGAAAATGCCTTCGCGAAATTGAGAAATGTAACCAAGCTTTGTCCGTGCTGCCATATTTTGCTTGCGGGATTGGCACCAAAATTCAAAGTTTCACTCCAAATGTCCTTAAACGCCCAGCATCTGCCTTAAAATCCCAGATTTTATCATATTTTTTACGAAAATGTGCATGGACATTCGTATGTATAACTGGCAGGGAGGAAAACGGAAAGATTTTGTAATTGGTCAGTGTTTAACTTACCATATATTGATATGGATGTATGCCGGGGAACTTCTGCTGCTTCTAGCCACAAGCAACAGAGGAGTTAAATAAGGAAAGAGAGAGAAGGGGAAGGGAAAGAGAGAGAATGGAAGTGGGGAGCAAGGGAGTTCTTAGGGTGACCTTCATATCCTCGATTTTGATGAAAAGCACACAATGTTACGAAAATGTTACATACCTGTTTTGACTATGTAGCCTATCGTATAAAATATGTAATATAAAACGATGGGGCGCCATTTTCGAGGGCGCCTGGCGGGCCTTTTGCAGCAGACGATTTGTCTTGCATTGCTCATACGTTGGGGAGTGATTGGTCATTTAAAACTGGTTTCGAGTGGTACCTCTAATGTTTGACCCAAGTAAAATATGAACTTTAAGGCGTCTGGCGAGCCTTTATGGTCTGACAGCCAAGAGTTATGAATTACGCTACCAAGGTATGTTAAGCTCTCTGTGACTTCAATGTCCTCGCCGCAAGCACGTACCGACCGAACAGGTTCTAGCAAGTCCCCAAAGTCCTGGATCTTGGTCTTGGTCCAGGAGACCTCTAGACCCAAGGGCTTCGCTTCATTACTAATGCATCGAGAGCCAGCACTAAGGTTTCCAAAGATGCAGAATAGCAACATCATCGGCAAACTCAAGGTCTGTAACCTTGATATTGCCCAGAGTTGTTCTACAATGACTTTGAATAGTAGCTCTGCCCAGTATCCAGTCCATGCAAGTGTTGAAAAGAGTTGGTGCAAGGACACAGCCTTGCCTCACTCCTGAACTAACAGGAAAGAAGCTCGACAGGCCCCCACCACACTTCACAGCACTTTCAATACCAGTATACAGATTTGCTATTAGTGCAATAATCCTTGTTGGAATTCCTCCCAGTCTCAGGATCTCCCAGAGTGTTTCCCAATGCACCGTATCGAAAACTTTCTTGAGGTCGATGTAGGCTGCAAGCAGCCCACGCCCGAACTCACAACGGCGCTCTACAATGACTCGAAGCGCAAGGATACGGTCTGCTGCGGACTTAACAGGAGTGAATCCAGATTGCTCCGGCCTCTGATGCCTCAGTAGGTGGTCTATGATACGTCTCAGAAGGATGTGGGCAAGAACCTTGCCTGGTATATTGAGCAGTCTCGGTGATTGCTGCAGTCCCATCGGTCCCCCTTCCCCTTCCAGAGAGGGATGACCACACCCCTCATCCATATACACAGAAATAAATGCATACCTATCGATCTATCAAATAATAATACGTTTACTTCTCTATCTGCACGGTAGACATGCATACCTAGACTGATTGAAATGCATTTATTTCCGTGTATGTGCATGTCTGTGTAATTAATGACTATTAGGTCGGGCCTGGCAGTTTTAACAAACCGGCCGTTTGTCTGGCGTTGTTTATTCCATGATCCGGGGGATATGTATGAGATTTTGACACTGGTTTCGTGTGGTACCTCGAATGTTTAACCCAGCTCAGATATAAGGTTTTGTGAAGGCGTCTGGCACAGGATTTGTCTGGGATGAGCCATTTAGTAAACTGTGCGACATACCTTTTCGGCTTGAATTGATTTCAGATGGTACCTCGTATATTTAGCCTATCGCATTTTCGGACCCGTTGGTAAGGACGGGTCTGGGGAAAACACGTAATGGGACTCCATTTCGCGAAATGGAATGCTGTATACGAAATGGAATGAAAAGAGGTCGTTTTTTGTGTGCAAGCGTCCCCTCTTGAACCGTATCCAAATACCCAGAGAGGATTAACTGTAATTTCGCCAGAGATTTCAAAGTATGGCCGATAAATATGGCACTCCATTTCGCGAAATGGAACATGATATTGCGTAATTTACCAAGTGATGCGCAGTACATGCACAGATAACCTTTTTTATGTCTCAGTTGTGGTCAAATGTTCAACTTAAGTGTTGCAGGTATCGATGCACGGAAACCAAATCGGGAAAACACGTCAACAAGGCTCCGTTTTGGTAAATTACGCAATATCATGTTCCGTTTCGAATACGACATTCCATTTCGTGAAATGGAGTTCCATATTTATCAGCCATACTTTGAAATCTTTGGCGAAATTACAGTTAATCCTCTCTGGGTATTTGGATACGGTTCAAGAGGGGACGCCTGCATGTGTATCTGAAGGTTTGCACACAAAAAAACGACCTCTTTTCATTCCATTTCGTATACGGCATTCCATTTCGCGAAATGGAGTTCCATTACGTGTTTTCCCTACAGCGGGTAAAGACCCCAGGGGCCAGAAGCAGTAGAGGATCCCCGGCAGACATTCACTTCTGTATATGGTAGGTTAAACACTGACAGCTCTTGTAGTCAGATATTGGTACCGCGTTCGTTTAACCAAACTGCTTTGGGCTGCCGGTCTATGGGGCTAGAAAGAGCTAAACCATGATGGCAATTAGAAGTATAAATGCTGCATGTTATATACGTGTTATGCGCTCAGTTAGCGCCCTACGTGTAATGCTGGCCAGGGCCCCATGCCCGCGCGCTTGCGCCCTACGCTAAACATACGTGTTATGCGCTCAGTTAGCGCCCTACGCATAAACATTGAGATTAAGATTGCCAAGAACCTCATTACCAAAGTTTGTTCTTAAATTCTTTCTTGTAAACTGTCAGAATTGTTGTCAATGTTAAGATTAATACTGTTTCCATTATTTAGACAATGCGATGTGTACAGATCAAGTGTAACACAATGATGTTACTACGTTGTAAACATCAGTGATAAACATGCATGAGTATGCAGATTTAGAACCACAAATAATGTTTGTTTTTTGTATTCGAAAGCTCATTTACCGTTTTAAGCCATTAGTTCCAAAACCTGCATTCTTCACTGAGTTGCAACTCTAAAACAGAAATAGAGAAGATTGAGTGGAAGAGAGAGAGCAACACAAAGCTACGAACAGATAATCAAAATTGACGCGCATGTGACGTCATGTACACAACCTTGACATGAGGATTTCTCGCTGAGCCAACACAGTACCAGAATTCGAAAAAAAACGTAAATGCACATATAAAAACATACGCAAACAGCGAAAAATAAAACTGAAACAACATGAACAGAGGAGCGAAAATCGACTTCCTTTTGCGTGCAACTCGAACGCGCACGTGACGTCATGTACACAAACACGCTGTTATTGTTGGTGATATTCCTCCTCGTATCACCGGGTCTTTCAACTTCTCACGAGGACGAACACCACGGTAACTATACACACGCTTAACATGATGACCTTGGGGAAATGGTGAAGTATGTTGGACTGTGTAAATGACTTGATTGAAAAGTGAATTTGTGATGTGCTGTTGGACGAGAAGTCCTAATGAGATAGTGAACCAGCTGTTCACTATCTCATTAGGCGGTTAGAATTTATAATCATTCTAGTATTTTATTTGGTAATTTTCTATATTACGTCCGCATGACCGATATCGACGATTTTCGTATCATTGGATTCCCTGTTAGCGACAAACTTGGCCTCGATAGCGGGGGCGACGCACAGTGGTCCCAAGCGCCAATTTCTTGGCCACTCGTGATTTGCGATCGTTAAACAATCATTTGTGCTTCCATCGTTATATATGATTACTATTACTCCATTTCATGAAAGAGTAGATGTATAATTAATGCAGGATGTAATAGAAACCCTAGTTTCATTGGGGAAAATTATTCATAAGTTCATACATCTTGATGTATATTGTTTCTCAGCGTACATACCCTACTTTGAAAAATGATTATCAAACTTACACAAGAGCAAAAACAAAAAACTTTTAATTAAGAAATACTACATGAAATATCAGCTATTACCGAGTGAATATATAGTAATCAAATCACGTACATTATACAATAATGTATATCATACTGATCTTGAGAGTGAATTAATCATACAGCATATGCTGTATGATTAATCATACAGCTATATGCTGTATGAAATAATCATACAGTCTATAGTTAGCTTTCTTCCATCGCTTATGAAAATCACACTTGAAAGCTGCAATGTTTACTTTGTTCATAGTTTTCCTGATATTAACTTTTTGGTGTTTGATTTTGATGAATAAAACATGTTCGAATGAATGCATTGCTTTTGAAGAAATATAGCTGTCAATTACTGATTTCCTAGTACGACCTGTCATCTGCAATGAAAATAAAGACATCCAAATAATGACAAAGGTAAACATCATGAATGAAATAACATTTTCTATGTTTTGAAAGGGGTAACTATTATAAATAATATGTACTAATAATTTCATCTCGCATCAGTAGGGATCACCTTTACACTATTAATTATGTTCAACACATTATTCCACTATCCCTAACGTATATGTCAAATAATCAGGAATTCATAACCACCTCGGAGAAAGTATTGTGATAACTGAAGCTGTATAGAAAATGGAGGGCATTCCCATTTTCTATGAATTACGCGCGCACATTACGAAAGAGCCGATAGTTAAAACGAGGACAAATCTGTTAGAATAATAGCTATTGCTACTTTTGGTGGAGCTCGGGGGATCTGATTCAAATTGCACATTGTTATTAGTATATTTATCTCTACTTTCGTGAAAGTGGCAGTATCTTATATTCTCTTATTTGTAGATGAATTGCATTTATGTAAAGTCCTCTATTAAAATCACAATATTCATGATACATCATTAGTTCACAAATTTTCCAAAGCTCTGATTTCATGGCTATATGGTGCTTTTTAAGGAAAATATTGCGATTTTAAATTTGGGGAGAAATCCTTTTCTGTTGCATAACTATCAAAATAAAAATAATTCTAAATTAGTAGGATTGCCACTAAAGTAAGCATTGATTGCTCTTCTGATAAAACATATTTAAAACTAAATTTGCAAGTTAAGGTGTTGGCCATCTTTTCAATCATTTGGACCACTGTGCGACGATGTCGGAGCGGCGGACGTAATATATAATATTTCCCTAATAATATAACCTCAGTGAAAATAATCATGGTTATTCACATGGCTTTCCATTGCAGGGGGCTGTGCCCCCCAACGCCCGTCGAGGAAACGAAACCTCCACCACGTATTCACGGCAGGATAGAGCGCACACGAACTAGATGCGGTGCCGATAACCTACAATAACCTAGGATTTTTAAGGTACTAACCTGATTGATTAATGCCACTAATTAGTAGGGAGGGTGCTCCTTTGCCGCAGGAGGCCGTGGCGGAAGCACATCTCTAGCATTTTTTCCTGGCTAGTTGCAATTTCGCGCTGAAAATCCGTCTCCGAATATGAGCACACTCCACACTCGGCCATTGCGGCGGCTATGACTGCCTTCTGAACGCGACGGTTATTTCGGTTAGGAATACGAATGTCGTTATTCCAGAGGAAGGGAAAATCGACCCTGAGGCCATCGATGTAACATCGAAAGAGGCGCAAAACCTGCCTACAAGGGCGGGCCACCCTGTTCATCCTGATTTTACTACAATCGTCTATATACAATGCTGACTATGCCAAGGTTAATATGCTGATTCAGTGGGAATCTTACGAGGTAATTGTAATATTATGCCCGCCGCACCGACATCGACGATGATTGTGTAACGCTCTAGCCTGCCAGGAATACGTGGTGGAGGTTTTGTTTCCTCGGCGGGGGTTGGGGGCGGCAGCCCCCCCAGGGGGGTCGCAGGGGGCACAGCCCCCTGCAATGAAAAGTTATGTGAATAACCATGGTTATTTTCACTGTGCGTTATATTATTAGTGTTATTTAACCCCGCATTTTCCCTGGAACCTTTCATGCCCTCCCCTGCTATCGGGGCCAAGTTTGTCGCTAATGAGGGGGTTTCCGCACAATAAAAACTATATATTTGCAATGTGGAGAGTGAGAGGAATCCAACGATACGAAAATCGTTGATATCGGTTATGCGGACGTAATATAGAAAATTACCTTTTATTTATGAGTTTGGTTAATTTTTCGATTATGACAATCGGGACTTCCCAGACAATATCATCAGATTTATTCTCATGTGATGAGAATAAATCTGATGATCATTTCCGTTGCAATCACAGCCGACGATCTTGATGTGTTAAGTCCCGTTAGCAGGGGAGGGCATGAAGTATATCAAGGAAATTATGGGGTAAAACAGACTTAGATAAGAATAATAGTGAACAGAAACGTGTAAAAAGCTAAGAATCGGCTAATGAAACTCTACGGACATGTCCGCCACCTTTGAAAGTCTATGCACCGACGCGCCAGAGTTCGGGAATCCAACCCATCTTTCGGTAAAGTCTACAGGAATTCATACCTTCCAAACTAAAAAAAAGGGCTAACCAATAACTCAACCTAACCTAGCAATTTACAGTGCCGTGACTCGGGTTGCCCTTCAGGCACTGCCCGAGGGGAGGGTTGATGGGGGGGCAAGCCCCCCAACAACCCCCGGGACATCTCAGTATGTACGGTAAGATAGAGCTACATCCATACTGTAAACAATAAACCAAATTCCTTTATATATCGCAAGACCGAACTGTCAATTTTCCTTTGCTTCTTTCGGTCGGTCTATTGTGGATCGTACATTGCTTCGTTTTTATCGCTTTTTTTCAGGATTTGGGGTACTTGATAGCCTCACAAATCGAAGTACGACAGTTATTAAGGTCTTTTTCTTCTTTGTTTCCACTATATAGTCTTAAGAACCTAGAATCGACATAACACCAAAACCGAAACATTTCTCGCCGGTCTCCTGTCACCGGACTGCCCTGGGAATCGTCCTGTCAAACCTGGCGGCAGAAACGCGAAAATGCATCTGCGCAGAAGGTGCTTCAGGCCAATTTCCTTAAATCACTGTCTAATAAATCTTGAAACATGAAAATGAGGTATAACAACATTAACAAAGGCCTTTGAAAGCATATATGTGGAACAGCAGACACTGATAATTAGCCAAATATCGTTTTGACAACGGCGTAGTAATACATGAACTACTTAACAGAGCACAAGAATGAGTTGACTGGTCACAATTTTGTTTACATTCACGATGTCAACATGGCGAGGGACTTAGAAAAAGATGGGGCGGTTGGGCTTCTCTCTTCTCTGTCGTGTAACTCCTTTATTTTCGATTTGCGCACCTTTTGCCATAGATGAAAAGTGTCTCAGATTACATCAAGGTAACCATTCCATATCTTTTTTTTACTGTAACCCTGATTGTTATCTGCGGTAATTTTACCATGATTTTTATTGAAATTAATTTCACCAAGAGTAACGTACACAGACAGAGGGAAATGGACACCGTTATCTTATAAAGCATAAGAAATGTGTCATAAACAACATAGGTATAAATACTACTGCCTCACATTTACCGCGAAATAACCAAAATATCGATTACATAACACCACTCAGAGAATAAGTCCACAACATACTCATACAGTGTAATGTCTCACGTTTTATATGGTGGCAGGAAGAGCTAATAAAGGAGGGATAGGTAGAAGGTGGAAAGGTTAGGTTTGGATGATGATTTTACACAGTAGCGCCACATGACAGTTCATGATAATTTTGGTATCAAAGGATTCCTCTCACTCTCAAATATCCAAATATGGTACTCATTGCATATCTCCCTTATCCCCCATTAGTGACAGTCTTAGATAGCAGGGGGTGGCATGAAAGGTATCGGGGAAATTGAGGGGTAAAGTATGAATAATGTACACAGAATCAGTCACTATATTGTCTAATGCAGGGGGCTGCTGCTCCCAACTCTACAAACTTGCCTTTCACCATTGAAAGCATTCAGGCCTTTGGTAAAATTTATTTATCTTTTGGTAAAAGTTATGCGTTTAACACCTCCAAATGCCTCTACCCAGAGAGCTGTTCCCCTGGACCCCATGAATTATTAGTGTCACTCTGCAATCCAACCTGCAATTTTTATTCCTTGTCTCCGTTAATGGTCAAAGTGAAGAGGATTTTTTTATAGACAAAGAAAAAGTTGGTCTTCAGTACAAGTACAATATGCAGGCATGAATGATAATGCTACAGATAAAAGAAAAAGATCAAGGAAAGTCCAGTCAGTACTCCCAAGTTTCAGCTCTATTTTGGTGTACATACTGTGATGAGTGCATTCATATTGTAAAGAATTACCTTTCTGACATTATTCTTTGTCTGCACAAATTATTTCATGTGTCAGGGAGTGTATTTTTCCTTTCTTGATAATAGTGTCATTAGATTTTCTTGTAAATGTATACTAAACTATTAAATGTTGCACAACTATTATCAATTTGCAAAGGAAATACCATAGATGTAGCATCTTATTTAATTTGCCCCCTGGACATGTGTGGTATTTTTACAATATGCCACAGCCATATAATCCAAAGCCATGGGGCTTAACCCTCTGGACCCCTTGGCCATTAAGTAATTAGACTCTCCCCTTAGTCTAATCCTCCTACAGGAGCTTTGTTTGTGCACTTCTGGGGAGCCCTTCCCATCACCCTGGCCCATGACAGCATGATCATGTTACTTGCCCCTCAAGCCAAATTTTTTCATAACATAGTTATGTCATCTGGATTGTTGGGGTTAATGTAATATATATCGCATGCAGATTGTGTGTGTGTGTGCGCGCGCGTGCGAGACTTCATGCTTTATTGACTAGTGAATTAACCCTTCAACTACTCAATTATGATTTTAGTTTTTAGTCTTATAACATCTTCAGACATAAAAGAGGAAATTAAAAGAAATAGATGTCATTATAGTTATATTAAGTTTGACCTAAAACATGTGCGACAATACTTAGATCCTAGTAGGTAGTTAGTATGCCCTTTTTTCCTTTAAGTAGCAGTTTTAGAGTTGTAAAACATTTCTCAATTTGCAGTATCCAAATTGCAACAGTGATTTTACTATACAGAGGTTTATGAGAAATCGATCAAATAAAGATGAAATAGAGTTGGTAGATAAATCAACAAAAGTCTAACAAATTTGTTAGAACAATGGTTTGCTGTACTGAGATGGTGTCAGGTTTTAACTATCAATCAACGATATTCCACACTGTTTCCCAGCGAGTAGCAGTATATAGCTTAGTGCATCTAGCCTGAATAAAATTGTTAGATCTCTTTGAGATCTTTCTTTTACTTAGCTTTTAAATTTTCACATTTACAAACAGTAATATTTGTCGGTTCTTTTTTTGGCAACAAAACAAACTGAATTTTGCAAATTATTATGCGCTCAGCAAAATATTATAGAGAAGTAGGAGTACTTAGATTATTTTCTTTTATGGGATGAAGAAGTGAGTATCTATATATTAGTTGTATATCATTTTCTAACATACACAACAGTTCACAAGATAACTTTGAGAGAACAAACAAATGTTTCCATTGATATGAATTCACTGGAGCTTAGTATTGGGTCAGCATATGTTTGTTTTGCATTATTAATTGAATGTACAGTTGCAGAATTATATTTCAGTACACTTTCTGGGTCCCACTTTTGTACATCTGGCAACCAATCAAAGTAAACATAGCGTAAATAGTATTTTTATGAATGAGGCTAAAACCCTAGGTTGTTTGTAACAAAGAGTGTGATTGATCGAATGTAAATAACCAATGAGTATATTAATGAATATTTTTTGAAACTAAGTAAGCCATTTAATCTTACGTTTTCTTCAAATAAGTGATCACAAAATATGTAATACTAGTTATCGTTGATTTTGTTGTTGGATATTCCTCAAATGCGATATCCTCTAAGTGTTTGTTTGTCGAAATGGCAACACTTATGGTGTGGAGGCGGGATTTCATAAATGTTCAAAGCATGAAACTTTTTCATGTTTTAAGAAATATGTATCTATAAATGATACTTCTTATGCTGTAAGGAGTATGAAATGCCGCCTCCCTATCATAGATGTTGCCATTTGGATAAGCAAACAATTCCAGGATATCGCATTTGAAGAATATCCAACTACAAAGTCAACGATAACTAATATTACATGCTTTGTTCTTTATCACTTATTAGAAGAAAGCGAAAGATCAAATAGCTTACTTAGTTTTAAAAAATATTAACCCATTGGTCACGGTATTATGCAGTATGGCACGTAGTCCCCTAATTTTATTTATTTTCAACTCGGGTGGTGTATGGGACCGCACTGGAGTGTGCAGTGGTGCTGCCTTCCCTCTTTCGCGCAAATATTTTGTTTACTTATATCTCAGAAAAAATGAGTATGCAAAAATCTGCAAAAATTTGCAAAAACCCTTGCAAATACATGCAAACATGCAAACATGTAAATGCGCTCAGAAAGAGTGGCGGGAGTGGTTTTAGCACGCGCAATAGGCGAACAACTCATTTGGCGGTAAACAGCCCATCGCACACGGGGGCCCGGGGGTGGTGGGTCTGGGCCCTGTAAGGCCGCAAGGGGAATGCCGGCTTGGCGGCTGATATTCCCTGGCCTACTCAGCTCCCATGCCGCGCGGCCGCCTGCTGCTCGAAGGGGATCAGCTGTCAATTGCACAGTGCATCATATGATGCCATCCGCAGCCAGTGGGTTAATACACTTATTGGTTACTTATTTTTGACCAATCACACTCTTTGTTACAAACTACCTAGGGTTTTAGCATCATTCACAAAAATACTATTTACGCTATGTTTACTTCGACTTGTTGCCAGAGGTACAAAAGTGGGACCCAGAAAGTGTACTGAAATATAATTCCGCAACTGTACATAAGATTATGCCTTAGTAGTGTGGACGGTGGTTCTTTATTGTTTGTCAATAGTATTAGACAATTCTTTTGTTTTATACTTTCTCATATCTAAAAATTTTATGAATAGTAAAAATCAAAGAAAAAGTTTTATTGTTTTTGTTTTGTGTGAATCTGCTTTATTTAATACTAATTATGTTACTTTAGTTGTGATGAATGTGTTTTTACTTATTGGTTGATACCATAAAGAACTCTAGCACAAGTTCTTTCCCTCAACAGATCATATCCTTTGTCGTAACTGTGGGGCAGAATTAACCGAAAATACGAAGGAAAATTTTGTCAATGTCACTAGCCCTCATTCGGAGTCCAGTCACTGGTTGTCTGTCCTTGGCCATTCTCATTTGATGGTTCAGACACTGCGAAATCCAGCCGATATAGCTTTTGACCTTGTCACTGTGAAAAGAACTGGATGTTCAGGCGTTGGAGAGGTGAGTGCTGCATTTTTGGGGAAAGGAAAAAAAAGGGGAGGGGGGGAATAATTGGTCTCTATACTCAGACACACAAGCACATGTAAAATATAGAAGACATTACTTACCAACAAGTAGAGTTGCAGATGAGTTCCTAACTGCATAGACTAAATGCACAAACCCCAACTCAAGCACTCACAGATTTATCTCTTGCTCTTTCTCAAACATTGATGTTTCCAGTCTCAAATCTCTCCTAATCCTTCTTTCCTCCGTAATTTATCCACATAGCAATTTGATTTTGTATACGTTTGTGTGTGTGTGGTAGTGTGTGATGTGCAGAATTCATAGACCATACATCATCTTCAGTTTTGTAATGAATTAACTCATTAACTTCTCTTCTCTTTCCAGTGGTATAGTGAACATTCTTGGTTTCCTGGCTATTCTTGGAAGGTCTGCGTCTGTCCTCGCTGCAAGGCACATCTTGGCTGGTGTGTTTTCTGCACTTTTATTTTTATCTTTATCAAGAAAACTTGATTGGTGAGCTAGGTTAGAGGAACCAGCTGGACTCTATGATAAAATAAGTATAGTTTATTGCTTGCCATAATGATTTATGATAACTTCTATATTCTTCCATATCTAAGGCTATATACACAACAGAACTGAGTTCATTGTAACAAATGTTTGAATGAAATTGAAAAACTATGCAATACAGTTGATGTAATTCATATTTTGTTATATTACAAATTGGAATTGCAAACACAAGGTAAATTAGAAAACATTCTTGATATATTGACATATCAACCAAGAGTGGAAGAATCATCTCATATACATGACCTGTAAAATACATTATCCAAGGTTGTAATTATATCATTCCCATAGCAATTTAGCATATATGGAATCCTATGATGAAAGAGTGAATTACAATTAATGACATGTCCATAAAATGTCAGTAATGAAAAATGAAAAGATGAAAATGGGGATCCCGTTTATATGCTTTTTATAACTATATATAAATATATTTTTCCATATGATATAACAGGTTATATAGAAATACTTCTGTTGATTCTCTTGCACTGTAGCATTATTTGTTTTCATTCATACCTTGTACAGATCTTAACAAATGTAATACTTCACCTCACATTCTAGTAGTCGTAAAGAAATGCAGTTAAGGAAAAAAGTAGGTTGTAGAAGAAGAAAGATGACAGTCTAGAAAAAAGTCTCCCTTAACCAGGCATATAGAAACATAGTTTTTCATAGCTCTAAGAGCTATGAAAAGCAATATACAAGTGTACATGCAATCTTAGTTCTTTTCTGATATGATACTTGAATTTTTATTCAAATTTGGCTTTTGCTTATAAACCTGTATTTGATCTAAAAGCAAAGATTACATAAGGGAGCTGTTTATGATTTTTATTAGAAGAGGAAGTTTAATTATCCATGCCAGTGCCTGTGAATATCATAGTGTTTTGTTTGATTTTTAAAATTCTCTCCTTTGTTGCTGCTGTCTGAGCACAGGAAACAAATTTTGGTTATGAATAGCGTACACAATTTTGTTATTGCTTTTTTTGTCTCCTTTCTTGATTTTCAGGATCTTTGAACCAATAGAAAATACCAAACCCAGCCAGTATTTAGCTTCAAGCAAGGGGTTCTATGGACTTATTTTAGAAAAACTGATAAGTGAAGACTGTAAGTATTTTTTTCTTCTTTTTTACTTTTGCCTTTGCTTTATTAAAGCAATAGTCAGAACTGTAATTATTTTTTAGATTTGGTGAAATAATAAAACATAATTTGTTAATATAATTTAGCTTTTGCCTGACTGTTTCATCTAAATTTGAAGACAAAAAAGGTTAATTTCACTTAGAGTAATTGCAAAAGTTCATGACACTTTCTTTACACAACATAGATTTGAACTGTTTTATGTTGTATGTGTTTGTTTTTGCATGGATTTTGATTCAAGAACAACAGTAAGGGAATTTTCCATTTTTGGTACAAATTTTTAGGAAGATAAAGATAAGCTTGTAATTGTTTACATGGCAACTTTTATCATTATTAATATGACTGATCTTATCAGTTTCAGATTCCTTGCTAATTGGACTTCCCAAACGACAAAGATACTAACCATGGCTGAGGAGAGGCAGGGTGTATGTGTTGGTGAGGAGAACATGGTTGAATTGGACACAGAATTTTTGAAAAAACTGGAGGAAGAGGCCAAAGATCGCTTCACAGAAGATGATAAGAATTTCATGGAGGTTAGTGAGTCTACATTTGACTGTCATTTCTTTTCTCATGCCTATGCAAATTTGATATTCCCCTAGACCAGGGGTCGGCAACCTTTTGAGCACAGTGTGCCAGCATATAATTATCATCATCATCATCCGTAGCTAACGCCGACGGGGGCGCATAGCCACGTCCACCTTCTGCTTCCACCTTTTGGGATCCTTCATGGCAAGTCACCAGGCAGGGGCTTGGCCCATCTCGAGCTTTTCCCTGACAGGTTTGATCGAGTTGCCCAATCCACAACCTTCTGGGTCGTCCCACAGGCCTCCTCCACCCAGGGTTGTCTCTTACAGAGACAACCTGATGGGCAGGATCAGCCTGTGGAAAGCGAGCCAGGTGGCCATATAGCCTGAGTTGGCGATCACGGATTGTGCAGGTAACAGGTCCTGTGCCAGTCTCACGGTGCAGCCGTTGGTTAGACACATGGTCCCGCCAACAGTACCCCATGATCCGGCGCAAGGACCTATTACAAAAGGCGTCAAGACGAGACACCAGTGCACAGGATAATGTCCAGGTTTCACTACCGTAGAGCAAAACTGGCATTTGAAAACCCATAGCTTGGTCCTTCTGCAGGTACGGTATCTCCAAATACTCTTTTCGAGAGAGATGAGCTGCCAGGCCAATCCGTCTGCTGACAGCCCAGAGTTATGAACTGCACTACCAAGGTATGTAAAGCTCTCTGTGACTTCAATGTCCTCGCCGCAAGCACGTACCGATTTCTCCTAGCGAGTCCCCAAAGTCATGGATCTTGGTCTTGGTCCAGGAGACCTCTAGGCTTCGGTTCATTACTAAATGCATCAAGGGCCACCTCTAAGGTTTCCAAAGACTCAGATAGAATTGCAACATCATTGGCAAAATCAAGGTCTGTAACCTTAATATTACCCAGTGTTGCTCCACAATGACTTTGAACATTAGCTCTGCCTAGTATCCAGTCCATGCAAGTGTTGAAAAGGGTTGGTGCAAGAACACAGCCTTGCCTCACTCCTGAACTGACAGGAAAGAAGCTCGACAGGCCCCCACCACACTTTACAGCACTTTCAGTACCAGTATATAGGTTTGCTATTAGTTCAATGATCCTTGTTGGAATTCCTCTCAGTCTCAGGATCTCCCAGAGTGATTCCCGATGTACTGTATCGAACGCCTTCTTGAGTTCGATGTAGGCTGCAAGCAACCCACGTCCGAACTCACGACAGCGCTCCACAATGACTCGAAGCGCAAGGATACGGTCTATGGTTGACTTACCAGGAGTGAATCCGGATTGCTCTGGCCTCTGATGCCTTAGTAGATGGTCTCTGATACGCCTCAGAAGGATGCAGGCAAGAACCTTGCCTGGTACACTGAGCAGTGTGATGCCGCGGTGATTGCTGCAGTCCCATCGGTCCCCCTTCCCCTTCCAGAGAGGGATGACCACACCCCTCAACAGGTCAGAGGGAACGGTACCGGACTGCCAAATGGCAGCCAGGACAGCATGCAATCCCCGCGCCATATGTTCACCACCAGCCTTTAACATTTCAGCTGGGATGCCGCAAATACCCGCTGCTTTACCACTCTTCAGCTTGGAGATCGCCTCCCTAACCTCAGCTAGGGAGGGAGGGTCCTCGCTAATGGGTGGGTCCGGCAGCGGAATCTCGGTACTACCCACATCCAAGTTAACTGTTGGAGGGTCAACCTGATACAACTGCTCAAAGTATTCAGACCAACGCTCCCTCACCGCAACAGGATCTGAGACGATCTGGCCACCCACTATGCGAACTGCAGTCACCTGTGAAGAGGGCTTGGAGTTCAGTTTTTTCAGGGCTTGGTATGCAGGACGAAGGTCATTTACTAAGAAATGGCCTTCAACCTCCTCAGCAAGATTCTTGATAAACTGTTCCTTGTCCCTTCTTAACAGAGACAGAGTTCTGCGCACCTGAGAATGGTGCAAATCCCGATCCCCTGCCAGACGAGCCGCATGGCAAGCATCAGTGGCTTCCAGTGTCTCCTGAGAGATTGAATTTTGTCTTGCCCTCGGGTGTTCTCCAATCGATTCTTGGGCTGCATCAAGCGTTTCACGCTTGAAGGTGTCCCACAAGTACAGGACCCGTCAGGTTAACAAGCGCTGTGAACAGATCAGAGATTGTCTCAGCAAACCTCCGAGCATACTCCCTCTCCTTCAGCCTGTCCAGGTGAAACACCCTAGGGTGGTCATTGGGCCGCTGGAGAGTTTTGAAGTGTACCCGGAGGGTAGCCACAACCAATCTATGGTCAGTACCACAGAACTCAGCACTCCTGTACACCCTGCAGTTCTGGAGGATCCTCCAACGAGTGCTAACGAGAATGTGGTCGATCTCCTTGGTTGCATTACCAGCATCGCTGTACCATGTCCAACGATGTGGGTCTAGGCGCTGGTACCAGGAGCCAGAAATCCTCAGTTTCTGGGATCTAGCAAAATCCCGGAAAAGGAGGGAATTCTCGCTGCCGGTATCAACTCCCGAACCATGAGGACCGACTGACATCTCATAGCCAGCTCAATCGCAGCCAGATACCTCATTGAAGTCACCCAGAAAAATACGAATATCTCGCCGGGGACAACTGTCTGCTACGGATGCAAATTTGACGTAGAACATCTTTCACATCAAGTTTACAAACATCGGTAGGAGCGTACACAGCAATAAGAGACATGAAGCCCAAAGACAGCTTCAGTCTCATTACCATTATACGCTCATCGACTGGAGCGACCTCTACCACCGAGGGCTGGAGCCTACCGGAGACAGCTATGGCTACTCCCTGGAGATGGTGACCATCGCTGCGGCCTGACCAGTAATAGGTGTAGCCACCTACACTGGTCGTGCCGCTGCCAGGTCTTCGCACCTCCAAGAGAGCAGCCAACCCCACTCTCAGCCTCCCCAGTTCCCTCGTTAGCAGGGGTAACCGATCATCCTGACGTAAAGAGCGGACGTTCCAAGCCCCCACCCTGACTTCCCGCCTGAGGTTAACCCTCGGGTAGTCGCTCCGGGTGGACGCCACTCTGCCACCCCCGCTGACGCTGCCCCACATAAAAGGCGGCAGGCTGCGGGACCCTTTATCCACCTGTGGGATTCCCTAGGGCTTTGCCCCACAAGCTTCATATTGGGCGGGCGGCTGCCAGGACGCAGGCAGGACAAGGAGCTCCCGTTCCTATTCCGCACCCCAGCAGCCACCCTCCCAGCGGGGCCCGCAGCCCGCCTCTCTCGCTGGGTAGGAGGGACATTTCCCCTCCCCCCAGCATTACCATTTAAGTGAATCACTGCCAGTGGCTTTTTCTCTGGGGGGAGGAGGACTGGCAAGGCCCACCTCCCCCTAGCCTCCCATTGACCCCAGGGGGCTTAGGGGCAGGAGTTAGTACAGGGCCAGGGCGTGTCCACACGCCGGTGGGCCATGACCCTGTACCTCTGGGGCCTCCTGCTGCTTCGAGATCCCCTACAGTTCAGCCTGGGACCTCAAGGTGCCAGTTTCCATGGGAGGCCACGAGGAGGCACTGCAGAAGTCTCGATGATGGAAGTCTGGAAGTCTGGCACTCGTGCCAAAGGTTGTCAACCTCTGCGCTAGACCCTTTTGTATGGTAGTGGTCAAGGAGGGAGAAACTGGTCAGAGACTGAAACACAAGTCATTCTTGCTTTATGTGAAGCTGTAAATGGAGAGTCTCTCTCTGGACCACAATTAAAAGCTTATTCATCTTATGCAAAGTATAAGGATGTGAGGTGCATTTTGCAAAGTATGGACATTAAGGCTTTTTTAGTAGGAACCCCCTTTTTTGACATACCTATAACTGACGTCACTACATTGGCTGAGCCTTGGGCCTTCTTTGATAATCAAAAAGCACCTTATTTTTATTTGACCTCTACAAGTAACATTTCTAGATGTGACAAAAATATGAGTATGTATATATAGGGCTATTCCTATTGATATTAGAAAATTTTGTAATACCTGTTTTCACATTCCCATGAAATGCATATTTTATTTTTGATTGATAGTTCTTCCTTTTTTCAGTATTGCAGCAAACCTCCACCAAAGCCTCCAATTCTTCCTGCTGAAAGATTTGAAAGGAATAGGCGGGGTGGATTCAGGGGACGCGCAACAGGACAGGCGCAATAGGGACAACAGAAGGGACTTCGGTGATGACCGGAGGAGAAGCTGGGGGGCCGAGAGGAGGGATTTCGGAGGAGACAGGAGAGACTATGGTGGTGATAGAAGGGATTATGGGGGAGAGAGGAGGGACTTTGGAGGGGATAGGAGGGATGTTGGAGATGACAGGAGGGAATTTGGAGAGAGGAGAGAATTCAGAGGTGATCGAAGGGAATTTGGAGGTGATAGGAGGGACTTTGGAGGGGAAAGGAGAGACTATAGGGGTGAAAGAAGAGAATATGGAGGTGAGAGGAGTGACTATGGAGGTGAGAGGAGTGACTATGGAGGTGAAAGGAGGGAATACGGAGGGGAGAGGAAAGACTTTGAAGGGGACCGAAGAAACGAACGAAGGGAATTTGGTGGAGGGAGAGACCAAGAGTACAGAGATGATAGGAGAGGTGAGAAGAGGCCTCACTCAGGGTATTCTGAGGACCACAGGGGCAGTGGAGAGGGCTATTACTAAAGGATTTCATTATCCTTCACATCTTATAATGATAAAGAGCAGGCTCTATATAAAAGTATCTTTTCATAAATTACTGTTTTGCATGCTAGCCATATATACTACTCTATATTCTTCTATGGAGCAGGACTTGGTTCTTGCTGATTGGCTTTTCTAGTAGCCAGTTTTGTACTTCAGGTTTAGAATGCCATTTATTTTTGTTTGTAAAAAGAGATATATAAAGTACACATTTATGATTCATCAGGTTTGTTTCGGAGATAAAAGGTATAAAGGCTGCTTGGTTTGGTTTTAGATATGTAAAAGAAAAAAATGTAAAATTTGGATAAAATGTATATTTTTCCAGACAAAAGTTTTTGATTTTACCACATCCTATTACTATACAAGTAAAATGATTATGAGGTTTATTAAAAATTTGAAAATTTAATTGTTATATGGAAAGTTTCATTCAGTAAAAAGAACTGTCAGTAGTGTGTATCTATGTGTGATTTTTTTCCATCTTTGTAGTCTAAAAAAATATACATGAAACAGATGTCAGTATACTAACTAGCATAACCCAGGAATTGGATATGTAAATTTAAAGTTTGGTCCTAGAGTCTACAGAAAGCAGTTTGATATTTGTATTCATTATTCAGTACTCTGTAAAGTTCTAGTTGAATTGTAAATGTCTTGCACTTCTCTGTGAATGTCAGAATCTTGTAGATTCCAAATAATTAAACCTTTTAGTCAAAGATTGATCTTATCTGTTTGAATTCTTTGCAAATTAACCCATTGACCTTGGGTAAAAAATTTGGATAGTGAGCCATTAATGTGGGATTACTGGTGTCCATTTGCCCCGGCTTGTTTGGTAATTTTCAGGCAACATTAGGTACCCAAAAGATTTCCTTTCACTTTAGGTGCTATTGCCTAAAGTTTCACCATACAAATGATGCACTACTATCAGAGAAAAACAAGCTCTGTCTAATGAACCAACGGTGTTGGAGTGGTCATGATGGGGTGCCAACCGCTACTTGGTCCATAACTCCCATGGCATGGTTGCAGATGCTACCCAGTAGGAACTGGTTAATTTTTATACTTTTTTCCCTGGATGTCTAAAATCTCAGATATTTGGCCATGAACAGAAGAGCAAATGGTAGCCAACTGTGAGGTTTTAACCACAACCCCCAAAATCTATGAAATTTGTTCTATATTAAAGTAAAATAAAAAGGAGACAGGATGGGTTTGTCATGCAAGAAATAGAAAAGACAGGCAGATACTCATCTTTAGGTATATACTTGTATTATTAGATGTGTTCTTTTGGGAAAGTTGCTACAGGATACCCCCAAGTTTCATTAGGAAATTTCCACATGCAAGTGCAATGTAGTATAAAAGATGATAAAAAAAAGTAATTTACAGTATTTCATTATCATGTCTTCAGCAACTCTATAAATTATTTTCCAGATGTATGTTAGCACATGTGTGCATTTAAAATGAGAATTGTGAATGCAAGTGTGTATGTTGGTGTCTGTAGTTTGTGTATGGGTGTGTGTCAGCACCTGGGTGTCTGTATTTGTTAGTGCATTTTCAGTAACACACTCATGAACTGACACAAGACAGATACACAAACAAAAATAAACAAATACAAAAACATGTATATACATGCATCCATAGTAGCATACTTGTGGACATACACACAATCACTCTCACCCTCGCTCTTACTCTTATTCTCATATTCACACACTCACTTTCACACTAACACTCACACAATCACATGTGCAGACAGACACAGGTGCGCGCACACACACACACACACACACACACACACACACACACACACACACACACACACACACACACACACACACACACACACACACACACACACACACACACACACACACACACAACACACTCACACACTCACACTCACTCAAACACACTCACTCACTCACTCATCACTCACACACACACACACTCACTCACTCACTCAAAACACACTCACTCACTCACTCAAACACACTCACTCACTCACTCAAAACACACTCACTCACTCACTCACACACACTCACTCACTCACTCAAACACACACTCACTCACTCACTCAAACTCACTCACTCACTCACACACTCACTCACTCACACACACACTCACTCACTCAAACACACACTCACTCAAACACACACTCACTCACTCACTCAAACACACACTCACACTCACAAACACACACTCACTCACTCACTCACTCAAACACACACTCACTCACTCACTCACTCACTCAAACACACACACACTCACTCACTCACTCACTCACTCAAACACACACTCACTCACTCACTCACTCACTCACACACACTCACTCACTCACTCACTCATCACTCACTCACTCACTCACTCACTCACTCACTCACTCACTCACTCACTCACTCACTCACTCACTCACTCACTCACTCACTCACTCACTCACTCACTCACTCACTCACTCTCAAACACACACACATTTACACACATTCATTTGCACTCTCTCTCAAAAAAAGGTATGAATGAATTACATTAATCATAAATATAAATTTTAATTGGAAAATGTATAAATCATTTCTCCTTTATTATCTTCGGTATACTGCTAAATATATATTTATCTACATCAAATTTCCATATCACAGATAATAATAACAATCAATGTTTGTAAAACATTTCCTAAAACAATCTTGTGTTTGTACTCCCTGTCCACTTAATTGATAATCAAAAATAGCAGATGCAGTTCTATGCATTATACATTTAAATCAACTGTAAATTTATATAAACAACAAAAACTCCCCTCTTAGTAAATAAATCAAATGTGTCATTTTTAATAATTAAATACTACAATATACATTTAGGTGGCACTAATCATAATCCAATGGACTAGTTTCTAAATATCCATTCCAAAGAAGAAAAACCTTACAATTTTCAATTAATATATCAATATGCAGATCATTATATCAGTAACATATGAATGATTTTCTATTAGATACTTTCCAAACAATAGGAATTCAAATAAAGAAATATTTTTTGTTGCCTACTTCAAATAACTGAAGTTTTCAATTAAACTAATAAAACTGGAAAGGTTGCCATGAAAGATTGATACTTGATTAACTTTAAGTGCTGTTTTCCACAACTCTCTCCTTGTTGCTTGTACCACTGTTTGTAGACTGCGTATCACTATTTTGTCCATCAGCCATGGACACTGCAGATGCCCAGTCACCCCTAAAGAAAACCCTTGCACTGCTCACGCTCAAATAAAGAAGCTCAAACTCCTGCTGGTACTGTTGCAGTCGGGACAATGTGAGTGCCAGAGTCTGCTGAAGTTTATCATCACCCCCACTGCCTGATTGTCGCTGCTGTTCAACCTTTTTCAGGAAAGAAATAGAATATGACTAAATTTGAGTAGAAGAATAAAGGACTATGGATATACACATATGTCCACAGCAGTAAGGAGAGCATCACACAGTATCCTTCCCAAGTCAAATAAAATTGCTGCATGTTTGACTTGCTTCAAGTCACTAGGATGCAGACTGATCCTTATATGATCTGACACAACCCAATAATGTCAAAGCACTTACCTTTTCTCTTTCAGATATGTACTTTCTTCTAACACCTGACCACCAGTGTAAGGAGTCAAAAGCTGAATTTTGGTCAAGAACCTTCAGCAAGTACGCAATTCCTGTTGAAAATTTCCAAAAAAATTTAAATCCACTCCTTAAAAAAGTTTTTACACCCATTTGTATGATCAAAGCACAAATGCTACATGACAGTATCCAAAGAAACAAATAGTAATCTTTACAAATTCCCCAGAAAAATGATATTAAATAGTACAGTTCTTACCCATAGCAAATCCATCATCAGTAAATGCAGCCCCAGACTTGTTTTTTTTATTTATATTGTCTTTGGCAGCAATGATATGTTCCACAAAGTTAACAGTCAGAGGAGGAATGATGAGGTAGAAATTACGTAAATGGTTGTTCTTGTTGTCACGCATTTCTGAGGCAAATACATCAACCAGAAGCTGCAGAGGATGAGATGAAGATTGATATATTTTACATTATTTACCTGGTAAGTATTACTGAAGCTTCAATTCTCTATATATAAAATACATTAAGCCAAAATAGATGCAGTAAAAAAATTACATATCCTCCAGGTTATGATCAGATTTGTAATTTTCTCTTTTTTTTTTTTTTTTTTTTTTTTTTTACCTTTATTAAAGTAGCTTTTGTGGGATATTTATTCATATGATGAAATACTGATTTATTAATTCAATACTTTATCATAAGAAGAAAATATCACAAAGTTACTTAGATGTCAAGCCAAAAACAACTTTTAAAATCAATATTTCAAAAGAAAAAAAATCCACAAAGTAACTTTGATGTCCAGCAAGAAAATACACCTTTTTAAAAATAAAAACAAGTTTACACAGCCAACCTTAAAGTAATCAGTATCCTGGTTGAAGTTCCTAGTGAGGTTGCTGATTACAGCATCAAGGTTCTCTGCAGCTCGTGTTGTGCCAGTAGACACACTGGCATCCTCACACAACTGGACAAAACTCACCACATCCTGTAGATCAGGGATGAAACGGGCCGCCTTGCTTGAGCAGTGAAGGCCACCTGACCGGACCAGCCTCACATAGCCCATGGCATTTCCTTCACAGTTTAAGAAAAAGAAAATAATAAATGGATAGATTTTCTGCATAAAAAAAACAATAAACAAAAAACAATTTGTCAAGAAAGGAAACAAAACAAACATACAATTTTAAAAAAGCTTATCTATTTCCCTATAAATATAACTTTTTCAGAAAATAAAAGACAACAGTGATAACATAAAAACATAGTACTTATACAAATTATTGGTTGTACATTTCCCTCTGACATTTTTTATGTTGATGTCTAAAATAAGCAAAATTGCAGGTGAGGATGTTTAATCTAATTTTAATCATGATTAATAGAGTGACAAAATAAGAATTAAACAAAGTGATCTACATTTTTATAAACAGTTATCTTTTCTTCCTAAGCTACTGGGCATATATATCTAGCAATGTCCGTAAAAAAAAGAAAAAAAAAAAAAATTCATCTGACTCCACTGTGCAGCACTCACCAATATGAGTTATGAGTCCTCGAAACTGATCTAAATAAGACAGTCCCTCTTGAGTAAGACCAAGCTTCCTAATGCCACGGTTGAACTTCTCTGCTCTTTCAAATGGAAAGTATTCTTGACTTGCTTTAACCTGGAAAGTGAGACAATAAAGGTACATCCATCCCTCAATCGAAGTATGATTGATCAGTTACAATATCTCTTCTTACATTTTCACTCCTAAAAATCTATGCATAATCCCTTGCCATTAATTAAATTATATGATCTGTGATTAGTGGTATAGTCACTAAGCCATATGGTGGTATGGGTGTCATCCACTATCCTCAGTCTTTGTATGCAATCTAACATATCCATATGATCTTTCTGTCTCTCTAGCTATTAATAAATATATGGTAGTAAGCCTATCAGGGCCCCTGGAATGAGGTAATGTAAATGCTTAGTGTTATCTGGTAAATAAATTATTTTTCAACAAAAAAAGGTTTGTAAGTTGGATTACACATCAATTACTCTTCATTTCTGAGTGGCAAGAAATATATCCACACTAGTGTACAATCACTTCACAGTCAACTTTTGAGAAAAGCTCAATCACTTAGTGAGGGATGCATGAATTCCTCTTTGGTAGAGTAATGAAGCAATTAGAATATAAACAATCTTCAAATAAGAAAAAACTCAAACCCTATTAATTACAGCATTTTATCCCTATTTTCTCACCAAATTATGTCTTAAAACATGACTATCCAGCTTCATACTTGAGCACAATTAAGGATACTTGCCTCTCTCCAATGCTGCAGATCCTTTAACAAACGTGACTTTATGTGTTCATCATAGAGGAATTGAGAGAATACCTGGAACTTCCGCCTTAGAAACTGATAGGTAAAGTTCACCTGTTGAAAATGAGTTACACATATAAAAGCATTTCAGATTGATTTCTTTTTAAATCTCATATACTTCAAAAATAATATGACACATTATTAGCTTAAATATTACTTATACAAAAAGCTGTCTGTTAATAACATTGCACATATGCATAGATGCACACATGCACATAGACATTCATAGATATGAACACACAAACAAAAGGTATCAGCTTCTACAGTGAAAAAATATAGGATCAAGTCTTTCTCCCATTTCAACTTACTGTAGTGTTAATAATGCCAGCCCCATGAGTCCGTATGGAATTTGCAATATGGTTTATAGAGACTGTATTCAGATGCTTGTTGTTGCTTGTGGCTTCAACAAAGAACTGCTGGTTCAGGTTGTACATGTAATGTTGTACAAACACATGGATATTTCGCATCATTTCCAGAACATCTACACCCTATTAAAGAGAAGAAGAAAAAATCTTTAATCAATTGTACTCTGAAGCATATTAATATATGATTATATAGTGTAGTATTCATTTTGAATATATCTTGGGTTTTCTTACACTGATCTGGAAGATGGAAGGTGGGATGGGACGGTAAAGAGACTGTATTTGGAGGAGGCAAGATTCCTCATTTCCTCATAAGTTCTCCAGTCATGAGGTGCTACTACAGTCAGAGCATAAAAGGTTCTCTCCAAATACTGTTCAACATAATCTGAAGAAAAAATATGATGGTAGTAATAACCGGAATAGTAACAGTAAAAATAAGTATATTTAAATTCTGTAAGCAAGAATGCGGCTGGAACACAAATTTTTGCCTCGGCAAATCCACTCATCCACAAATGCAAGCCCTTTTAGTAGACTAATGATTGGAGCGAATTAGGGAGTAAAGAAAGCAAACACTCTGTTGAGACAGATGCGAGCATAATAGGGGAGATACAAGGTGCCCGAATTGTCACTACGGCCAACGCTTGGTTATAGGAGTTTTTTACGGGGGCCTGTCCGACGACGTTGAAGATGAGTGATCTGGCTAGAAATGCAGTGGCGTTTAAGTCGGGAGTCCTCCAGGGTCTTACCCAGTCTGGCACCACCTTGTCATATTAGTAAGCTAGATGATGAGTGGTTGAAGGATTATGTCAAACGAGATTCAGGGACTCCTCTTTTCTAAGATGTGTCAGGTTTTAGTGTGTGCTTATATAGCTATCCGGCTTTACTTCACTTCGCAGACTGAAATTGAAGTTGGAGAATATTGACAACTTTGATTTGAATCTTAAGATTTTTCTCTGCTCCATATCCTTTGGTTTTTATTCTTCAGCATGTGATACAAGATTAAGCAACGTTCTAGCCATGATAAAGTCAAATAATACTTTACTTCTATGCTAGTCAGTATAATTGATAAGCAAAATGAGAATGAATACGCACACAATTCTTGACACATGGTGTATAAACTTCTCCGTTGAACTTGTCTCCGCTCGTAACTGATCTTTGTGGATGTTAAGTGCGTAACAGCGACTTCTCAAGAGAGGGCCATTCGAGCAGTCTTTTTAATGGGCAGCAGATACTATTAACTGGAAAGGTTTACAAGAAAATCGTTTAATTAATTTATGCCTACTAATGTATCTAAAGAGCACATCACTCATAGAATGCTCGTAGTATTTTGAGAGAGGCACTTGCGTGAGAACGCTTCATGGTGCAGTTGTCAAAACCAATTAACTCCTGATAATGTCTTTCTGTTGTCTGATGTTGCATCCATATTACTTCACATACCAACATTTTAGACAGGATCTCTTTACGCGGTCTACAGTGCGCTGCCGATATTTTGGTAGTGCAAAAGCGAAACCTCGCATACTATTATAATTATTTACTAGGTTAATTATATGTCATTGAGCTTGCTGAGATCGCTACATTGTTGAGTGGTTTTAATCAACTCTAGATTAAAAGCTTGGAAGTTCTCATGGTTCTATACATTTTTAAAATGTGCGTGTATATGAGACTCAAAGTTCTACTCTCTTGAGCAATATTGAATATATCCATGTGACCTGACATTTTGCAGGTTGAGAAGCAACTGTTGACTCACCTTGAAAGTATAACTCCGGTCAAAAAGCAACATACGTTACATGTAGTTATGATGCCCATTTCGCACAAGTTCCTAAGAGGCTTAGGTTGTCAAAAGGTCTGATTGCGCGCATTTAGATACACGATGGGTGAAGTAAACAAGAGCTGAACAGTTTTTGGCCTTCCTGTGCTTACTCGGGATTTCATGACGACTTCAACTGGCTAGAACTTCCAGCTCTCCGCTAATTTAGGACAACCGAGCACGCCGACGCTACCCGATAATACTCCTTTTTCTAGTAAGCATAGGAGGAATGTCCCGTGTTATCTCCCAATCGGTTGTTTTATAAGCCCCAGAATTGTTAAAATGGTGTTCATTTGTTAACCACCATAAAGCACGAGCGATCGGACTAGGCAAGGCACCGGGCCATTATTTCCATTAAAGGTTTTAAGTTTAGGGAGTTGCTGCTTAATCTAAGCACCCTCTCGTTGCTCATGTGCAAATTTATTCTGTGCGGTCATCTTATATCACTCGTTTATTAAAGAGAGTCCAAAATACTCCGGTCTTATACTAACTAGAATTAAAAACAGAAAACTGATAATTTAGGGAAGTATCCCCGTGGAGAGCCCCTTTGCTTCGATTGGAAAGTGATAGAGCTACACGGGTGATGATCTTCGTCTTTATAGTGTGCCAGTATGCACCGAGGAGCCAGCAGGACTCACTCTGTGCTCAGCGCTAAACGTGGTCATTAGGAAAATGTGCCACCAAAGATGTCAAGTCTACCGACCATCCAACGCTGTAACGCTTGATACTCTCGTCTGCCAAGAATACATATTGATTAGATTATGACTTTACATATAAAATTGCAGACTATGAAATATACAACAAGCAGCTTAGTTCCTCATCGAATGTCTTCATAAGCTGCATACTTCGGAAACCTGATATGACACGAAAGGCAGCCTTGCAGAAATGAAAATGGTAACTAATCGGTCTGGGAAGACTTACTCCACAAGCCTCAAATAGTGACAATAAATAATTCAGGTGTAGTGCGGAAGTATACTAACCTTTGCTGCAACGTGATGATATGAGGAGAATCTGGCATGTGAGAATACTGCTAACGTGGGGGAGAGACTTCAGCCAAAAGGTATTATGCGGTTGGTTGTATTCTCTATGGCCTTAGTGACTCCTAGGCTGCAGACACTGAGCTGCAACAAGCGCGATATACACCAGTCTGGACGGTCTTACCCTTAGAGCAGTATTTGTAGATTGAAGGAGTTGTGTTCAAAGCGACGATAGTACGCAATTGGAGTGTGGGCTGGGGCAGAGGATTCAGTCCCCTGTCTAGGAAGCTAGCCGGGACTGTAAGACATAATAATTTGTTTTACAAGATATTATAGATCAGTGTAAAAGATTACTTGAAATAGCAGTGATAATCTACAGATTAGATATTAATTAGACAGTTCGCTCCAACTATTGAATACCAAGCGAGGAAATATTCTCACGATTTGCCTTGTAAGAATTAATGTGGTTTTATCAATAAAAGCCATAGCACTTCATGAAAACTGACATTGTTAATAAGGAGAGGCATGCTCTGTTGACTCAGGTCACTGCGTTCTTGCCATTTGTCTTGGGAAGTGGTTTCTGAAGACGTGCATCCAGATTTGACGCGCCCAGGCCACCAACTTGGAAGTGCAAATGATAGAAACAAGATAAAGAAATAAAGACAGTCACGCTGGAGGGTCAAAACGAATAATCTATGCAAATAAACTTGTCAGTCTATATCGAGTTTTCACATTCATAATGGTTATTTAGTGCTCTCTCTGCAGTGAAAAGCTCACCTGTATATTGATAACTTGTGCTTCCTTTGCAAATTCCACTCTTTCTGAGCAATGGTGGTTGTTGCGGTGAGTTCATGAAGTGTGTCATTGGGGGGTCTGTACGATCAAGAGCTGGTGTTGAGAGAAGGAGCAGCACACGACGGGAATATATCTCTCTCCAAACCACTACGCACAGACCAACTAATAGTAAGGTACATTAGGGACTGGAAAGAAAACAATATCAAAATAATGAAATTGTCAGCGATCTTCCTAGTCACATTCTAACAAATAATCGATTCAAGTTTTCATACCGACATATTACAATATTCTTAGGGCGATTCATTATAAAGAAAAAAATGATCTCATGAGTATAAACAATTCTTTTCACCTTTTTGTATTATATGGTGAGCGGTGCCTATTAGCCGCATCTTCTTGTCGGCCTGTTATGTCAGAGAGACTATTTAGTGGAAGAATTCCTAAGGCTGTGACAGCAACAACTGTTGTGGTTAGATAGTCCACCACAGCCTGTCCTCAGCCCAGCCTTGTTCCAGCCCTGCCAACAGATATGTTTGCAATAAGTCCCACATATAGATATATAAAGTGTGTATGCTATATGATACAGCCTACGTTAAGAAACCCATTAAGTCCGTTTCCAATATACACTATCCCATAATCGTGGAAAGGCACGCGGCGTATTATTTATCGGAAGCATTGTTGTCATTAATGGTTGGGATTAGCACGTGCTTACATTAGGTTGGTAATTAAATATAGCACTGAATGTGTTAAAAACTTACTCTCCCAGTCTCAAAGCGAAGCAAGCTATACCAGTAAGTATCTCTCGTGCTTTCAATAGGTAAATATGATCATTAGGGAAAGCACGGTGACTGCCACAATTGCCCTCAGAGGTTTAGGAAGGCACGGTGGCTTGTTTATTGCGAATAACAGAAAAGCCAATCTCGCCCGGCAATTCGGCTAGGTAATACTATTACAATGCACTTCACTTGAAATACATATTGGTATACAGTCAAAGTATCTGGGCATACTAGTCCATAATTTGCATAAATACTACTAAACATCTATTTTCCCTTTTAAGAGATTTACTTTTTAGTATATAAAATGGGGAATAAAATCATTTGTAAGTCTTTCATCTTGCCCTTTTCTTTCTCCCTGAGAGATTTATTTCAATGTAGTCATATCAACGGGTTTGTCGGTTCTAGGTTTAGGGAATCCAAGGCGTAATATTGCCACTATAAAACTTGTCATGGCTTATTAACATTAAGATACCAGAATATGCGATGTTCTCCCGTGAGAGTCTCCCTTCTTTAATAATAATGGTATTATCCGGATATAGAATTTAAGTAATACAGTAATTAATATTCAATCTACCCAATGGTTTATACTGTAGTCTACTTTTATAGAGTGCTCTTTTTGCAATAAAAAAAATAGCTATACTGTGGTGCTTGACGAGCCTACGCTTTTATAAGGAATGCAATCAGCAGCTTAGGTATATATAGGTTTACTATATATATTATAAGTACATCAGGTATTATACTATATATATATATATATAGTGTCATATACAGTATAGGATATAGGTCATACGAT